TGTTTAGTGTCACGTGATGTTAGTGTAAATAATGATGTTTGATATTGCTGTTAATCTAGATTCCAAGGAAGTTATTAACACTGTTTTAGAGAGGGAAAACTACCACCATATATTTGAAAGAATCTGGTTCTGTAAAGTATAGATCTGTTACAAATAATAGGGTTGTGATCCTATAGCTAATGTTGGTTATTATTGATTGTCACTTTCTTACTTGCTGTGGTTTGTTGGTGTGTATTGACAAAAAGTCATAATATCTAATCAAAAACACCTTAGGTGTGAAAAAAGTGTATTTTGTTTTATCCACCATCATGTCCAAAGTTAAGCAAAAAATGGCTTGGCTAACTAATGAATGAATATTTACTGTGAAATTCTTATCAGTGTTATAAGTGTAGCTACCAATTTGATGGCCAATTTTAAGTCTCATGCTCAATCCTTTTTTGGCTGCACCTTTTTTTTACATCTAAGGTGTTTTTGATTAGATTTTTCATTATCTAGATCAGCGTTTCCCAAACTTTTTTGGCCACGAAACACTTTTCAGCTGAGAAAAAGCTTACAGAACACTAGACACGTGAAATATTGGTGTGGAGGGTATGTTACGCATGCAGCACCCTCTAGATTTGTATATTATTCTTTTATTTATTTAATCAAATTACATATTAATGAATGTTTACATTTTTATGCTTATAATATATTTTAGGTACAAACCTCACCACTAAGATATTATGTAGAATAGATATGGCATCTTCTATAATTTTTCTTCAATGTGAAATCAATATTATCTAATTCTAATACATAGGAAAATATTTCATGATAAGTTATGATCATACAAAAAGTGTTAAATATTTTATTCAAATTTAAAATCATGATTTTCTCACGGAGCATCTGTCAATCTCGGATGGAACATCAGTGTTCCGCAGAACATAGTTTGGGTAATGCTGATCTAGATGTATAAAATCTAAGGCATCATATTTAATGAGAAGTATGAACCTTTTTTTTAACACTTTCCATTTACCATGTAATATTCCTTATAAACCTAGAAATTTCCATCTTAAATGTAAAAAAACATTGGATGGTCAGTAAATTGAAAATTTAGTACTTTCTCATAATACTTCTTTTAAGCAATTGTGTTTGTATTGGTTTTTGTTAAACCTTACAAAGATGAAAACTTGTGGGCTTTAGTGTCTGGCACACACTTATATCACTAAATTTACTTTTATTTTGATATGATAAAATTAATAAATCCTCTATTTCCTTATCTAGTTGGAAATCAACAGCAATTATATTGACAAAATTTTCTTTAATTTTGTTAATAAAAGTTTTTGACAAATTACATGTGCTATTGGTAGTAGGGCTTAAAACAAGATCCATTTTTATCTCCATGCTTAATAATACTTTTTGAAAATACTATCCACAAAGAGGACTTGGGTACAATCTTGGAAATTTGACATTTTTTTTTATCAAAGTTTAAAATTTGGCAAAGAAAATTCATCCAATAGAATCAAAAATTAGATTTTGTATAGGCCTTAACTATTTTATGGGTGAATTTCTGATTGTGAAAAGTAAACATTAATAAACCTTCTCATTCTGAATCAAAAACAAAAAAATAGTTATTTGTTAAGAAAGCACTTTCCACCTATTGTACTCATTACTCCAAACAAAAAGTTACTGCAAATCCTGTATAAAAAACACCTTTTAACATACTTAGAATTTACTCTTATAAACACACTGAGGAATTCATTGTAAAAAATAAAGCACCTATTAGAAGGGAAAGAGAGGTTTCACTCAAGAGCTTTTAGTATCCATGTTTTATTAGTGATATTATCACTATTGATCAGGAAAGTGTCACATATTATCTGCCCATGTGCAAAGTTAGTGATTACATTGCATAAATGTGCAACAAATGATTGGTATTTGGCACTGATTTTGAAAACAGCTGAACTTTGCTAGCCTGAGAAAAAGGAAATTACCTTTTTAAATGAGAACAAGATACTAACAATGATTAAGGAGCTTAATTGGATGCTACAATACAGGAAATTCCAATTTTTTTTGGTGTATGATACTGAACAGAAGTTCCAAAATCATACCAGTTGAGGATGCTTCAAATAGTTGAAAAATTTATATATATACAGAAGTTGTACATTATATTTAACCCCATATACTTAGTACCAAGCCTGTATTGAAGATTAATTAAAGGCTGGCTATAAATTCTATAATTCTGGATTTACTTAATATATCTTCACGAAATTTGGTAAGCTTTAAGTAAGCATTACAAATATAATGTATACAAAAAATATCAGGATTTTTAATAAAGTATTTCTGCTGAAGATTTGTCTCTGAACTTAATTAGTCTGACTCGGACTCTTACTAGTCTGAATGCAGGGTGATTCTCATGTTGAGAATAAAAATATTTTTTTCATCTCACAGTTTTATAATTCATTTACATAGCCTCTATAACCTCCTAAAATTTATATATATATATTTATTATTTCTATTATATTGACCTTTCAGCCATGCCTGGCTAACAGTACAGAAGTTACAATGATGGTGGGTCACATGCACTCATGTTACCATATCAAATAACATAAAGGTGACCTTTGGTTTGTACAAAGTAACTTGTCTTGGCAGTGTTTTAGTTGACTAATATTTTGTGAAATACAGTCACATTTCAATTATTATACATTATATGTGTATATTGATTATTGCTATTTTTGAAATAAGTTCTTAAAGTTACTTCTCTTAAAACAAACAGTAAATAAAGAAGTAAAGCAAACAACTATCTCTTCTAGCTTGACGTAGGTTGCTAAGTGCTTAAAAATTTTGCACGTAGAGGATATGAAGCAAAATATTATTTTTTAGGTTTTATATATACTTTTGAATAACTAAAAGATCATAAGTTACTACATCAGTGCCATAGAATTCTACTATGATTTATCAAACTTAGTAAGTAGTCTGTATTTTGGTCTAAAAAATATGAAATATGACATGGCCTTTCACCTGTGAAAAAAAATTAATTTAAATGTATCAGTGCATGACTGGAAATTGTAGGCTTTTTGGCAGTGGGAATTGGCTACATACAACCCCAAAATTGGCTAAGGAAAAATCTTGAGAACCCATCAATATACACTGTGTATGTTTTCTTTTACTTTGAGATTATGTACTATTGGATTAAATTTACAGTTTGAGAAGTAAGTTTGGATGATATTTACAATTAAATGTAGCAGTCCAAGAAAAAAACCCATTGAAGATACAAAGTAAGATTATGTATACAGATTGTTTTAGAAGCTGTCTTTTTTCCTGACATGCTCAAATATAATATTTTCTGGTATTTATTTTGGAAAAAGTGTTGAAGATTATAAATATATATGAGAACAATGTGCATTAACTTGTATATGTGTGAGACACAGTGAATGTTTAAATTCATTTCTCAGATAGGTTTATGAAAAGAAAACTTATCATAAGTTAGCTGATCTAAGTTTTAAGCAAAAGCTTGTTTCACTTGTATTTAGAAACCAACCAGCAACTCCATGACCTCTGACCCTGGGGACACCAGAGAAGCGACTGTGGAGCTGAACAATATTGTAAGTGAATAGTAATTCATTTGTGTGTTCATAAAACATTAAATTGCAAACAAAAACTGCGTCATGTATCTTGCTGTCATTTTGATGTTAAACTTAATGTAAAAACACTTACATAGAAATGAATGTTAGTTGTGATAAGTGTTGCCATAAAATTGTGTTGTAAAAGTACAAACACTTGCTTACAAAATAGGAAATAGTTTTTCATAACTAATGATCTGCAATTAGTTGCAAACACGGATTGTAATGTGTTTGTAAAACTCTGAATCAACAAAAACTTTATTTATTCATTAAACAAGGATTTTATACATGTTAATTTCTGGTTAACTTTAGGGATTGGCTTAAATAATAATTGTTTGACAGTTTTTGCTATTGAAAAAATATATAAACACTACACTTTTAAAAGATTTAAGTTTCATATTTATCAGTAGAATGATTTTATTAGTGAATTATGTGTGCATTAGTATCAAAAGATAAATTTGTTGTCCACCAGTAAGTTACATGTGATTGAACTTGCAAATGTTTCTTTAGGCATAGCATGTTATAAGCCTAGGAGTCTTTATGATATATTCTGCTTTTGTTTTTTATGTCGGAGTACAATAGTTTAGAAAGTCAGTAGTTTTTCTTAGAAAATGGTGTATAAGTTGTTATTGGAAATTATAGTAAAGTGTTGATTTTATAAAAATGTGCAACAATATTTCTTTAGCATACACAATGGTTTTTAAGTAATATACTGTCATTAGTATTGTTTTCAGATCAGAGGCATGAAAAAATAGCAATGTATATTTCACAACATAGTCATATGATATTGAAATAATCGATAAAAAAGATAAGCTATTAATTATTTTTAAAGAGCAAAGTTTTGGTGATGATAGAACATGAATTACTTATTGAAGCAAATGAGCTAAAATACTGCATACTGTTATATTCTGTACACTTTACAGCACTGAGGGCATTATTTTAAGAAATCTGACTGAAAATGGTGTGTTCTATTTACATTACATTTTTATTTTACAAGTGGAGCTTTATAAGCACACACACACACCATACCTGCCAAACTTGGGGTTGGGGGCACCCCCCCCCCCTGAAAACCTGCTAAACATGCTGTCCCTACTAGGAAATCAACTAAACAAATACTTTGTACATATTAAACTTTTATTGAAGGAAAAAACTTATTTAGACAAGCTGTATGTCAGAATTTATAAATATAATTGTTTCGCCAGTTGTCAAAATATGAAGGCTTATACTTCTTAATAGAATAAATACGTACTGTGGTGTTTTTGGGCTTAGGATTCTTCTACAATAGGATTCTGTGATTTGTTGGCAATAAATCCAATTATAAATGAACAGCATGCACTCCACTTATTTTCAAAGTACTATATATATTCGGAACAAGTTAAACTTATGTACAATAAATTCTTCACACTATAGAGGTTGCAGGCATATCATAAACACTATTTATATATAATGCTCTTCTTCTTGTAAAAAGTCCACTCAGGCTTATTCAGTTATTTTAGAATATCAGTTGACAAGCTGAACTATATTCTCTATATTACTATCGCACTAGTATTCTGTGTGATTCACTTACAATTGTGGCGTGAGTTACTGTAATTGTTTGGTCTTCTTTTTTCTAAATATCCTCTGTTTCTTTTGTCAAAGTGCACTCAGGCTGATTCAATTATTTTAGAACCACGCTTTGACGAAATAAATTCTTCTTTTTTATCTCCTTTTCTGCTGTTAGTCATACTCTATATAAAACTTTAGACCTATGTTAATCATTAGGCCTATCACTGCTTTTTTCGCTCATCTCACTATTTATATCTTTATCACTTAAATCATCTGGCCTTCTAGAAGTCTATATTCTTGACATCAATGTATTGCACGCAACGTTTGAGTCTCAACATCAGTGAATTATAAACATAACTTCCTACAATCGTCTGCTTTTAACTCTTATAATAAAAACTAAACAGTAGTAAAATATTCATTCACAAAATATATTAATCAATAATATCTAAACTAAACAGTCTTTTATATCATGACACTGTACAGTGACTAATAAATTTTGGCAAATCCAATTTATCCACATCATTCTACAGGATATAGAGACAAGCAAGATGATGCATGTGAGACTGTGACATGGTGAGGCACAAGTAACTTTCAGCTTCCTTATGCCTTATGTTAGAAAACAATCTTCAGCAGTACATGTAGTTGTTAGAGCCACCATATAGATTTTGAGCAGAGTGAAAACTGATGGACAGATGTCCTTAAGTACATGATTTTTGTACATTGTTTCACAAAAATAATGTACGGAGATCTTTGAATCTGGAAAATTCTTGCCGACGACACTGTGCACCTTTTAAATTTCATATTTCACACAGACCTTTGATTTTAATGGCACCAGGTTATCTTGATAAATGTAGTACATTTCGTCAATATCAGTTGCAGATTGCTTGTTTAGAAATTTCTCATTCATTGCTAAGTTTTGCAAATAATCTGTAGGATTTCTCGCAGAAACTGATTCAACAGCAGCTGCAAACACTGAGTGGTATATAATTTCAAATTCAGCTTCTACAGTTTATGCAATGTTTGCCCCTCTGTGCAATGCAGGCTACTCAATGCTTTCAGAATCAGAAGTGGATAAAATGGATTTATAAACCTGTGTTGCAATGCCAGCATAATCAGCATCCTGCAGAAGAGAAGTCATGCCTTGTTTTTGATGGTCATAAGGTGGCAGAAGGGGCATCTTCCATTGTAAAAGCTTCGTTTCATGCATTTCTAGGAGGGGAGTATTTGATAAATGTGATCACCTATCGTAGAACTTCCTGTGATTCCACCCAGGAACAAATGAGAATTTACAGTATCATAGAATATCAAGTTCAGTCCATGATCATAACAGTAGCTGAAGGTGCATTTTGGATGTTCATTTAAAGTTCCTGTTGCTACTCCATTTTTTTTACCTTTTATTGTACTGGCTCCATCATAACTCTGCACATGAGCTTGCTTAATATCTAATCCATATGGTAATAGTTATTGTTTGATTGTATTTGTAATGTTTTTAGCTATCACATTACTGAGAAGAGAGAATGCTATCCATTTCTCATTTACATTTAAATTAATCAACATATCTCACACACAATGCCAAAAAAAGAACATTTGTTGTTGACAGCTTCCACAACATTATGGAGTACATTATGAGCTATGAGTTCCATGATTTCATTTTGTGAGACCCAACTGCAATACTTATTAAAAACATGTGAAGAAATATAAACTGGGAGTTGTGTTTTGATACCGGCTTCAAGAATTCCATAAAGTTACCTTCATGAGCCTCAGTTCCCCTGTATGCCAAACCTTGTTTTTCCAGATATATATTAGCATCAAAAATCACCTCAAGTACTTTCTTATTTGCCTTCCATCTTTCAACTTCTTTACTGCTAATATTCTTTGGCTTTGCATCTTCTGTTTCGATATTGATTTTTGTAGTCATGCATTCTCTATGACTCTGACTTCTGTCATGATTTTGTAGACCATTCTTGCCCTTTCTAGAATCATTCCATCCTGTTACCTATGGAGATGTGAAAACTGTGGACTTCTGTGATGGAAGTAAGCAATTAGTTTGCACAGCCCACATACATACACAGCAAATTATGTCATTTGTATTACACCTATATTCAACCCATGATAAGAGGGTTATCCAACTTTCCTGGGAAGTTCGTATATTTTACTTTTTTGCTGCTAATGTTTTTGTTAATACTTTGGATGTTAATTCTGCACATTATAGTGTTGATACTGAAAGATTCGCTGTTACTGAAGTGGATGTTGATTCTGCACACTGTGATCTTGATACTGGTAGTTTCGTTATTATTGAAGTGGATTTTGTTTCAGCATATGGCACCAGTGTTGGTGGGTTTATTGTTACTGAAGTCGATGTTGTTTCTGCACATGGCATCAATATTGGTAGGCACATCATCATTGAAATGGATGTTAGTTCGGCACATGATGCCAATTTAACTGAAGCTACCAGCTTTAGAAATGCTGTTAAAACTACTTCTGAAGTTTTATGCTTCTCTTGAGGATCCATTTATTTAAAAAATATTGTAAAATTTTGTGTTGTGATTAATTTAAGACATGGTATGTGCATAAAGCTATACAAATAATTAAGTTTAACACATTTCTTGGTAGGACTAAGCCTTATAGTAGGTATATATTTAAACTCTAGGTCTTTAGTATACTTGGTAAGTTGCTAAAAATTCTATAATATTCATAGTGGTAATTATTAATTGTGACTTAATATCCTACATGGTACCTGTAAGTCATTGCACTTTTCCTTAACATTATCTAGCCAATAATGTTTTCTTGTGTGGTCTCAAAGTGTTTTTGACTGCTATTGTAATAAATATTGAAAAAAAACACATGGACAGAGCACAGGCAAGTTTGTAATATTATGTATATGGAATTATATAACAGTTTAAAAATTGATCTATAGAAGGGAAAAGCTCACCTTATCATGAACAGTTAGCATGAGTAAAATAACAGTAAATGGCTTTCTTCGAGTGATATAACCCTCTCTGCCTGGTTATGATAATTGCAACTGATTATATCTATCTATATATATATATATATATATATAGCAGTGGTAACTAAATGTCACAGCTCAATTAAATAACCCATTAAACTGTCAAGCCCATATTATGCAAATATTATGAATTGAATGCATACAGATGGTATTATTCTGCCTGCTTTTTGTTGATTACTTTATATGAGTATGTGGTATAAAAATATAAATGATCCAAAACATTTGTCAATAATAATGATTTACCCTTCATTTTCTGTAAAAGATGTTCAAATTCTACAATATGTACTTATATATATGTATGTATTTTAATTTTAAAAAAGTGTTTGGTCATTATTTTCATATGGGAAATTACAATCCAAAAATTGAAATTTTTGATTCAAACTGGTACATTTATATCTATAATACTGTAGGCCTTTCCTTGTTGACTTTG